ACAAGATATCAACACATCGTATTTATAATATCTTCCACAATCGCTGGAGAGATAGAATAAAATACCAACACATAATTTTGTATACTTTCAAAAGTAACGTATCTCAGTTATATAGTTCACTGATAGGTCGTATTTATAATCGGCATCTGTCATACTTAGGCTATCAAGTAATTATCTCAGTACGACGGACTACCCTATAAGTATCATAAACTATGTACACGGCTCATTAGTCTCATCGCAATCTTAGTGCATAACATGAGTGCGGGACGGACTACCAAATAAGCATCCTAGAAATACGGCTCTCGAGCCTCATCGCACCCTAGTGCGGGACGAACGGCTAGATCAAGCCTCCTAAAATCCGACTCAATGGCCTGTACATGTGGAATATCGACGCACTACCTCATGTAGTACTGAACTGAGCTCATCAACGATATCCACCTCATATAAATCTTTGTACCTCTGGCATGTCGATGCATTATCCCATCTAATACTGAGCTATGCTCATCAATGATAGTTACCTCATGTATAAACCGTGTATATCTAGTGTGTTGACGCACTATCCCATATAGTATTAAGCTGTGCTCATCAACGACATCCAACATGTATATGAACTATATCTAATTCAAATATGATCAAATCAAAATTTATCATATTTCCCTTGAGATTCTTAAATATATAATATAACATATTCATGACTAAATGTATAACATTAAGCGGCTCAAAACTCCGCGAACGCACCTCAAAACGGCGCAACACAACTCCACAAAACGAGCAGGAAAAACAGACATGATATCTGTTAGTAAAACAAGTATATCTTTCTCTAAAAAAAACTATTTTACAAATGGTTTTCTGTTTTGAAAACTAGATTCACACATATTTCAAATGACATAAGTTTGGTTCAATTTGGAATTCATTTGTTATCTCAAATCTCTAGTTAAACATTATATATGTGCAGCCATTTTTCTACAAGACATATTGTTAGTAAAAAGATCATATCTTTCTCTATACAAAAGATTTTTAAGATTAGTCTTCTGTTTTAGAAACTAGATACATATATATTTCTTTTGACACTGGTTTGGTTAAATTTGGAGTTTATTTTCTATTTCGAAATCTTAGTTAAACATGATATAATTGCTGTAATTTTCTGCAGAAAATATTTATTTAGTACATCTCTTAAATTTCTCATATATAAATAAAATTATGAAAAACCCTAATGATCATAATCATGATACTATCATAAACCTTAAATTTCTCATATATAAATAAAATTATGAAAAACCCTAATGATCATAATCATGATACTATCATAAACAGTAATAAAAAAATTACTAATCTAGTATTGGTTTAAGGTTTACTATCAAAAATCTGACTTTTAACACCTCAGGTTAAGATTAAAGCATAAACATATATTCAACATCATATTAAACATCTAACTAGTTATTTAACTATGGGGAAGAGTTTGGATGAAGATAATCTTGCCTTAGATGTTGTTCTAAGCCTCTGAAATAACCAGCAACTAAAAAGAAGTGCAACCAAGCCGTTTTCCCCTTGCTACACGTTGATGATCTCGTCCTCGTGTCGATATTTGCTTCACAAAGCTCTTAAAATTCTCAACTTTAGGGCTAGGGATTCAGAGAGAGGAAGAGGGGCTGCTAGGGTTTGAAAATCTAATATAATGATATTAATTTTTGTGAAAACACATGTTTATATATATGCAAACCCGAACTAAACCCGTTTGACCCGAACCAGGAATCCTAATCTGACTAGGAAAATGACCTTCGGTATTTTAGCCATAACTTTCACGTCCGATCTCAGAATGGAATCCTAATCTGACTAGGAAAATGACCTTCGGTATTTTAGCCATAACTTTCACGTCCGATCTCAGAATGAGGTGATCTAAGATTTGTTGGAAATCTATTGAAAAGACCTATAACTTTGGTATTTTTAATTTTCGAAGATTCTAAGTAAATAATTGTGTAAAATCTATAAACTCTTAACTGGTCTTTTTTTTTTCAGATTTTTCTCGTGCATGTTTTGTGCATTTGCACTCATATATTCATATATATGTATCGAATTAATCTCAAATCAGTTCCTAGCATACTCAAATATCAATAAACATTATTTATCATGATATAACATTTTTATTATTATATTTCACAATCATTCAAAATTACGGGGTTTTACATAGTGGATTCTCCCCGGGAGTGGGGTACGGAGACGTAGGTCGAGAAGACCGAACTCCGTGATCATATTGTTTGTTTGAGTTTGCATTGGCATATTTATTTGTGCACATTGTTCATTCATTCTATATTGCCATTGCTCATGTTTATGTGCCCTTAGTTTACATATCCTTGCACATATAAGTTATTGTATATCTTATTTGCTAGGATAATTTATTAATAATTTTTAATTGGTATTAAATCGGATTAGATTAGCATTCACCCTATTCAACCCCCTCTAGGGTGTTTTCAACAGTTACAATCAACCTTATCATACTTGATGAATGGGGTTCTTCTTATCAAAAGTGCAAGGCATTCCCTTCTATGAGATTAACTTAACTCCATACTCAACTTAGAGGAGGTATGGGAGCTCAACCTACTCATTTTTATCTCTAAGTTTTTAGATTACGAATGTAGTTTGTCTATAAGTCGCTAATTAAGCAATAGAGGACTTAGCAAGGATCCAACCTGCATTCCCTAACATGTTTGTTCATCAGCACAGGCTATCTGACTAATGGAGCTACAAAACCTGAGGGAACTATGAGCATCAGAATGTCCGATAGATATTTTTTTTTTTAATTTTCAAAGTGGTGCTAGTATCCATCAGAGGACAAATCATATTTGGATAGGCTAATCTTTTCTTGATGAAGCCATGTCACCAACCCAATAAGAGTAGAGCAATCCCTAAATATTGCACTCCTTAAATATATATATATTAGTATCACTTTGATTGTAAAAGAGAGGATTGCATGCTTCCAATACTTTATTTCTTGTTGTTAATTACTCTTATTAGAAGAAACCGAAAGCAAGAATTAAATTAACATCAAAAGCAAATACAAAGAAGTATCAATTGATTTCTTTATTTTTAATACATTACAAAATCTAAAGGAGAATGAAAAATAAATAGGATCTTGGGACTCCAGTTTCTGTTTTGCAGCCCTCCTCCCTTTCAAAATAAAATTATAGAGAACTTTGTTTCATCTCGTATGCTTCTAAACCTTTCTCTTGAGTTTCTCTTAGTAATTTCTCTCTATTTCTTTTAGTTCTTTGAATGACCAAAGAGGTCTCAATTTATAGGGAAGGTAAGAGGAAGTTTGTTGCCAGATATTGAGAAGAGATTAGTGAAGGGAGTTACTACTATCACATTTGGTAACGTCTGTACACAATTGCTTATTGCATCTACTTATCACAAACAATGTATCTCTCATTGCCTCACACACCTCATGTACTTACCATATTTATTTTTATGTTTCTTACCATAAGTCTTATGAGGACCATATATACCCTTCAGTTGAAACATAATTTTGTTTGTTGTTTGTATAAAGTGTGAATATCCTCAACAAAAATTTTATTATGAAGACCTATGAGCATGTGATGTCATCAGTATATTAATATTGACATGCAATACGAGAGGCATTTATCTGTGTGTTGGATTAATAGAGAGGGTGTATGTGCCTTCAAATTTAGTTTTCAAATTGACTTATATAAGGTGCTATCATCCTCATATTGAGTTTAATTTATATGAGGTGCTACCACCATTACATTGGATTTTATTGATATGGCTTGTTGAGCTTATCAGATTTAACATGGATCAAGGGGGAAGACATGCCTCTTTGAATAAATTAACATATGAATCAACACTTAAGTTGATTATATAAGGTGTATGTATCTTCAAATTGATTTTACTTTCAAAACTTTCTAGGCAAGTGATAGGCACTAGTAGATTGAAGGCAAAGATATTATCAAAGAGTATTAAGTTCTTTAATTAACTTGATTTGTGGCTTGTTGAGACGTAATATTTATTACATCAACAGAGACAATCTGACTCCTGTCTCAGAAGCCTCTCGTTATATTGTCTGAATCTTGTCACGTTAGACTTCAAAGATACATGACAACCCTTATTGGGGGTTGTTTGTTTGCTAAAAAAATGAGACCTCCCCTCCGCCACGTCAGATTTCAAGAAATCCCCCCTGCCACGTAAAATTTTGGTTTCAACCGATTTTCAAATCACATGTTTGTTTCGTTTTGTGATTTAAAGAAATGATGGTGCGACGTAGGATGCCACATCAAATTTTTGAGAAAAGTGTTTTCACGCCAAAAACCTCTGAAAACACTTAGAAATGTCACTTTAATGAATTTTTAATTACTAAAAGCACTGTTGAAACAGTGACTGTGAATAAAACATATTATTTAATTGTTGAAAACACTGTTACTATTGCGGATGATTTCCATTTTCTTTATTTATGTCCAAACAAACACAAAATTAGAAATCGAAACATTGTTACTATTGCGGTTGGATTTGTTTCTTATGTGACGTGACGGTGACGTGACGGTGATTTCATTGCGAAAAAAAAAAAATACGCGAAATGTCTTAAAATCTCTTGAAATGAGTTAAAATGTGAGTTTTCAATTTCCGGTTTTTTTTTTGGGGAAAACAACCAAACAGCCCCTAGCACGAAATCAATTTATACGAAAATCCAAATGACTTCCTTTTTTCCCCCACAGAAAAGATAATACTTGCAAACAACAACTTTAGATGAACCCAAATGTGGCAAATGGAAATATAGCCAAGGTGACCCTCGCAAAATCCTCAAAGTAGACAATGCTCCTGCAGCAGCACAATATTATATGTATAAGTTTATAACAATAACTAAAATTAATAAGATGATAATATTTAAAAAAAAACCTTTTTTCGTACATTTTTGAAATCCGACTCATCATCAGCAGCAGCATCACCACCTCGTCTCCACCTATGGATCCCCCTCTCCCTCTCATCTTTATATATATGGCTTCCGCTTCCTTTCCTCTCTCTTCTTTTTTTATTGAAAATCCACCGTAATTGAAGGGAAATTCAACCAAAATTCACATAAAATCAAATATTTAAATAGAAAAAGGAAGGAGAAAGGAGAGGCGAGGAGAAGAAGAACAAGGCTCTTCCTCTTCTCGATGCCAACTCTCTGATTCCCTCCAACTTGCATCTGAACCGTCTCAGATCTTGCTTAAGGTAATCTCAATCCGATCTAATATTGTTCGATTTATCTCTTTGTTGCTGATCAGTAGAGGATCTGAGATTCCTCTGCTGATTTACCAGGTAACTTTTTTTCATTTTTGACTAAGTTTTTTGCTCTGTTGGATCTGTAATTTAGATCGATTCGTGCTTTTTCTGATAACCGATCAGCTGGGCATCGGAAAAATTGGATTTTGTTATCTGGGTTTTGACTTTTTTTGATTGAATTGTGTTGGATCTGATGCGGGGCTGTATTTCTATATAGTTTGATTTTTGTTTTCCAATCATTGTGTGCTTGAATTGTGAAATGGATGGTCAGTCTTAGTGTTTTTCGGATTGCAGAGGATGGAGTCGGATCTCGGCAAGCTCTTTATTGGAGGGATTTCATGGGACACGACTGAGGAAAGGCTCCGTGAGTACTTCCAGGGCTTTGGTGAAGTTGTGGAGGCTGTCATAATGAAGGATCGAACCACCGGCCGTGCTCGTGGCTTCGGATTCATTGTGTTCGCCGACCCTTTAGTTGCTGAGAGAGTGGTTATGGAGAAGCATTTGATCGATGGCCGGATGGTAACTACTTCATGCTTTGACAAACTTTCTGTTCGGAAACCACAATTGCAGTTCATTGACAAATGTAGATTTATATTCTGATTGTTATTCATTGGTATTCTCAATGAATTACTGTCAAACTTGAGTATATTCTCAATGCTGCAGGTGGAAGCTAAGAAGGCTGATTAAAAATAATTCAAATAATTGATTGATGCTTTCAGTATATAATTCAATTTAGCAGACACTTTCTTTACGAATGTAGATTTAGATTATGGCTGTTGTTCCTTGGTTTTGCCAATGACTTATTGACAAGTTTGAGGATGTTTTTAGTACATAATTCAAGTAATTGACTGATGCTTCAGGTGGAAGCTAAGAAGGCTGTTCCTAGGGATGATCAAACTATTGTCAATAGGAGCAGCAACAGTAGCATTCATGGTTCACCCGGTCCTACTCGCACAAAAAAGATCTTCGTCGGAGGCCTGGCTTCCACTGTCACCGACACCGACTTCAAAATGTACTTTGAACAGTTTGGACCTATCACTGATGTTGTCGTTATGTATGATCACAACACTCAGAGGCCAAGGGGATTCGGGTTCATCACTTATGAATCAGAAGACTCAGTTGACAAGGTTTTGATTAAAACCTTCCATGAGCTCAATGGTAAGATGGTGGAGGTTAAGAAAGCTGTACCCAAGGAGCTCTCTCCTGGCCCGAACATTCGTTCACCTATTGGAGGGTATAATTATGGCATGAATAGGATCAATAGCTTTCTCAATAGTTATACCCAAGGATTTAACCCTAGCTCTATTGGTGGCTATGGAATGAGGATGGATGCTAGATTCGGACCTATAGCTAGTGGACGAACTGGGTTCCCTTCCTTTAATCCTGGTTATGGAATTGGAGTGAACTTTGAATCTGGAATGAGCCCGACTTATGGAGGGAACACAAATTTCATTAGCAGCGTTAGTTATGGACGGGCACTGAGCCCTTATTACAGTGGGAGTTCCAGCAGATTTAGTAACCCTATTGGATATGGTGGAGGTAGCGGGAGTCCTGGATCGGTTCTTAATTCATCAGCTCGTAATTTATGGGGGAATGGAAGCCTAAACTATACTGCCAACTCTTCAAATTCAAATTCATACTTGGCCGCTGGAGGTGCGAACATTGGAGGATTTGGTAATAGCAGCCTCAATTGGGGAGGTTCCTCTTCTCCTGTATCTGCACCTACCAGTGGTAGCATTGGCTATGGAGCTGGGGAGAATAGTTTCAGTATCAGTGCCAGCAATTATGGAAGGAACAACGGAGCAGGAGGTTCTGCTAATACTTCCTTTACTGCATTAAGCAATGGATATGAAGGGAATTATTCAGATTCATATGGGAGTGCTTCAATTTATGGAGACCCAACTTGGCGTTCTGCAACATCTGATCTTGATGGATCTAGTCCATTTGGATACGGGCTCGGCAATGCAGCTCCTGATGTCACTGCCAAGAGCTCAGCTGGTTATGTTGGTGGTTATAATGTTGCCAGTAGACAGCCAAATGGAGGTAAGGATCCTCAGCATTATTGTTGATTGGCGCATTATGTGTTTCTTTAGTTTCTTTTTTTAAGTAAGGTGTATTCTTCCTTGTTTATCATACCCATGCCTTAATTACTTGAAGAGCAAGGTGCATTGTACATCTTCCCAGTTCCAAATCTCACCAGATACCTTGTCAATCTTTTCATTGTCATTCAGATCTGATCAGGTTATGCATTAAACCATAAGTCATATTGCTACCTCACCAAAGCATTCAGAGAACTGCCTGATGGCATGATGCATTTTGAAAGCTTTACATTAGCTTTCTCTGTGTTACTACAAACAAGGAAAGAACCACCTTGTATGACGAAGCTTTACTATAGAAATTATACTATGTCCATATATCCTATTCTTTAAGCCTAGACATCTGAAATACAAACATGCATGAGTATTGGATTTTTCATGGTAAGATGGTTTTTGTTTGGATTTCACATAATCAGATTATTATATAAAACTTTCGTTAGAGAAATTCAACTAGGACATGATTCACTTGAGTAACATCCAACTGCTACCAATCCCCTCGCCAACCCCCACCCTCAACCCACATGTGCATTCACACATGGAAACATCCACCACCTTGAGGTTTGATATGCTGAGGTTAATTAGCACAATGATTGGATAAATATAACTAATGTAGGTTGAAATAAGTTCTATTTGAGTATGCCTAAATTAAATAGATAAATTCGTTCAAGAAAAGCTTGTGTTTTTACTGTATCCGCTGAAATTTGCAATGTAACAGACAAGTTGCTGTGATCCATCTTTCATCACGTAAGTATCAAGTTGGATTTCTTTAGAGGCATCACATTTGTAGCTTCCAATGGATTTCATTTGATTGTTGCTTTAGCATGTTGATGAGAGGCGCTTATTTTTTTCTCTTGACAACCCCGTCTTCATCTAAGCCTACGTCCCAACACCAAAGGAATTCAAATGATCTAAGAAAGGGTAAAGAATTTGTCTTGTCATTCCCTTTAATTGAATCAATAATTTAAGAATCTTAACCAGTAGAACAAGTGATTCAGTCCGCTATTTGTTTTTGCAACTTTAGTGATTCATCCTACCTACTGTATATATATTATTTTTTATTTTTATTTTTTCGGAGTCTTTGTTGTAGAATCAGAGCAGCATGGTCTTTCTGGTACCTTCATCCATGTCCATGTAAATTATTAATCAACATTCCCTTTAATCGAATCAATAAGTTTAGGCCTTTAGGATTCTTAAATCTCTAACTAGTACAAGGAGAAATTAACATGTTTTTTGCAACATTCATTGGTCCATTCTCCTTGTTTTTTTTATTGTTTAGTGAACTTCAGCCTATAGAATCAAAATGGATCAAGGTAGTTTGCATGTGCTCAAGAATCAACTGATGACCTATTCATATGTATTGCACAAGACTTGCACTAGGATATGGATACTATTTAAACAAATTCCAATTTCCCAAAATGAAAATCACTAGGATAAGTAGGGCCTAGATTGCACCACTATTGATCAAATCTTACATTCTTGTTTGAATTCATAAAAAGCTCAATTCTTTTTTCTGGAAGATTATGGTTGACATATGATAAATGCACATTAGAATATGTAAGGTCTTCATTTCTAGGCTTTTTAATCTTTCAACTGAGGTCTTTGGAATATTATCATGAGTTTATATGGCCTAACAGAAACAATTATAGTATTATCATGAGCATTAGGATGTGATTTTCTTCTAGACCATATAAACTCGTGATAATATTATAATTGCTTATATGGTCTACCAGAAAACCTTTACACAAGACATGCACTAGGGTGTGGTTTTCTGCTACAGAAACCAGCTGCCATTCTCAAAATTATGTCAAATCGTTTATACATTATATGATAAGTACTAAATGCATATTAATCAACTTTATAAAGAAACTAAATGTAAATAATCCCATTTCGTCAATAGATAATAAAGCGGAATCTTTTCTAACATCACACAAGTTGTTCTGTACTATGTTTTACTATTTGTAACTTAGAAAGAGACTGAAATAACATAAAACTCAGTATTGACTCCATTAAATTGATATATAAGCATATTGCCCCGTGTATTCTCTAAAGTCTAAAGAATTGCCCATGTAATAATGCACATGCCTAAAGCTTGTTAATTTGTGTTGACCACAGTATGAGAATCCATCTATGTATGTTTCCATCTTAGATTTGTGTGTATTCTGATGGATATTAGCCTAATGTGTTTGTTATCCTGCTTTTTTCTGCTTAATGGATCTTCAGTTTATATTTTTTATCTCTCAGTCTAGTTACAATTTTAGTACTACTGACTCTAACTTGCTGTATTTCTTTCTTTTGGTGATTATATTTTCAGGAATTGCTGCCTGAGGAGGACGCCATTCTTTCAAAGTATAATAGAGGTGAAGAATCCAGTGGAACAAGGTGCACGACTGTGAATTCATATATCTCGTGAATATATATGGGGTTAGTAAATAATCTAGAGCTAACCAGTGAGTTGATTCCATAAAAATTCAAATTTAGAAAAAAAATTCAAAATATTATAGGATTTTGTGTATGGTTGAGATTTCAGTTTTTAGTACCTACATCAAGTTTAGGTTTGTTGGTATTTCGAAGTGTGGTTCAGATGTAAGATTTCCGAACTATATTCAGAAGAGTGTTCAGATTGTGCCGGCAGTGAGCCAAATAGACTTCTACTCTTATCTTTTTTTTTCCCTTTCTTCTTCCCTTTTTTACCAAAATTTGCTGTAATATCTGGCATTGTTTCAGGTATGTTCATTTTCTTTGGTTTAAAATTTTACATCAGATGTATTGGAGACATTTGATTTTACTAGTGTGAAATTATTGGGAATCCATTTGGCTCCCAAGAATAAGGTTATATTGAATATTATCATTTAATTTATCTGTTGCTTTTTATTTGGTTTGAGAATCATTTTGGATGTGTGCATATCATTTCTCCTAGCTGTAGAAAACATGGGTTCATGTGGGTAGACAATCTTTAGTTTCCCTAAAGACATGTTTGCTGGCCTGCCATGCTTCCTTAATTAGTATGAACATGTGCATTTCTATTTAATTTTTTTATTTACTTCTTTCTATTTGGGCACTCAAAGCAAAACTCATCGAACTAATTTACTTTATCAAGAACATCGTTGTAAGAATTTATGGATGAATTATGTTTCATTTGCTTCATTGTCAATAGATTATCATCAGAAATTAAGTCGCGGTCCTTTCGGGTTGTTAGTGATCAAAGTCCAGATCCTTGGTTGCATCTTATAAGGTATCCTATGATGTTCTACTCTCTTTTTGGAAATTATAGCCCTGATCATTAAATTGGTGTCAAGTGATTTTTGGGACCGCTGCTTTGTTATCTTTTCAGCACAGACAAATGATATCATCTGCCTTTAAACTTAGTTTCAGCCCCTGCAGTGTCAGGCCCTGGGCTTGTGGGCCCGTTAGCGCGTGGAAACTATGAGACTCATCGAGTATAACACGTTGTTTGGCTCAATACACTACGAAAATCGACTAGCTGATGTTACACTTGAGTCTGTGGCTTATCTATTTAAGCCACACAATTTCACTATAAATTCCCGATGTGGGACTAAAGTTAGGGTCTCACATGTCTTCTTATAGAAACTAGACCGTGAGCAGTAAGCTTAGTTACTAGAATCCAGTTATGTTCCCTCTGTAATTGCATTTGATCTAAGGGTAGTATTGCTGTTTTGAACGCCTCTAGTTTTAGTATTATTTTTTCAGTTAGATCTTTGAGTGATTTTTTTTTTAAATCTCTTTCTCCAAGTCAAAAAATTTCACTTAGGACTTTATTTGCAAAAAATAAAACTAGAGGATTAGTAAGTTGAAAAGGACGGCATTACAAGGGATCTGTCCAAACAAACCTTTGATATGATGTAACTTTATGCACAAAACAGATTTACGAGACTTTGTGAAAGTGATTTTTCACCCTTTTCATGTTCCTTTACTCTCCACAAGTGTACGAGAGGATTAGTAAGTTGAAAAGGACGGCATTACAAGGGATCTGTCCAAACAAACCTTTGATATGATGTAACTTTATGCACAAAACAGATTTACGAGACTTTGTGAAAGTGATTTTTCACCCTTTTCATGTTCCTTTACTCTCCACAAGTGTACG